AAAAAAAAAAAAGAATTCCTTTGTTGTAAGATGTTTAGGTTGTCTCCAGATTGAGGCTTTTCTCCATGGCCAATTATAATTAATTTTCATAATTAAGAACACCCTAAATAGCTGCCATCATTAGGAACCGAAACAAATTAGGTTTTTGAACTGCAGCTTCATGATGGCTGAGGTAGTTGTAGAGAATGGTGCATTTACACGGCTGCTGTCGGTGCATAATTGCTGTGTTGACGTGGAACACCAGTGGGCCTGCCTGGGCGTTGCCCCACACGTGCCCCAGGCCCCCAGAGCAGAAGGTTCTCCTCTCTTTTGTCCTCTGGGGGTTCAGACCCTCTGGGATATTGGGCATATGAAGAGCTGCGGCCCCAGTTTTGGGTCTTACCAAGCTCTGCCCTCAGGAAGTTCCTGTTCCAATGGGGAGACAGACACTGAAACCACTAAATGCAGGCGTGTTTGGGTAAGTGGAATATGCAGTGAAGATGCATTGGAAAAGGGAGTCAGTCCTTTCTGGTGGGTCAGAGGGCTTAGGAGGAGTGACTGAGTCTAGAAAGATGGACGTGTTTTCTTGGGTGCTTAGGTGGAGAGAGGATGGGAGTCTGGACCACGTGCACCAGCAGGATCAATGGCTGGGAGGTAGGAAATGGCTTGGAATGTTCTGGCATTTGCTAGAAGTTTATGGAGCTGGACATAGGTACCAAAGATGGAGGCCTTGGTGTGAGTGCGGACAGTGGCCAGTCATGGAGAGGCTTGTATGCCATGACTTCTTCATCTCTGGGTCTCCAGTACCCCAACAAGGCCTGGGCCATGGTGGGCCCTCAGTCTGGAGGCTGAACTCTTTGATGAAAAGCTTTAGCTGAAGTTCTTGGCTGTATTTCTCAGGCTGTTTGGCAGAGTTCTGCGAGTTGGTTCATCTGGGGAAGTGTGGGCGTGCTGGAACATCCACATGTGCTGATATCTGGGAAGCCACTGCTGCCTGAGAGATGAGTGATGCTGCTGGGAGGTGCGAGGAGGAAAGTCCAGACGCAGGAGGAATTGGCTCTGAGACCAGTCCTGTGATTTGTACCTGGATGGGGTTACAGAGACTTCTAATTGCAGACATTGAGTTAATGTGTTTATGAGCCAGCCAGCCATCCTGAGGGCATCCCAGGTCTAATCCTCCAGGGCTGGATATGTGCTTTTGTTGGAGCAATTGGTAGCTCATTGGCAAGCCTGCCACCCACAGGTGTGCTCAGAGTTAGTGCAGGCCTGACTCATTGCCTGCGTTTTCATGCTGTGTAGCTGAGGGCAGCCCTAGGCTGCTGCTCCTCACCCAGGCTCGAGGGGTGGGTTGGTATGTGGTTGCAGGGGCCAGGGAAAGGGAGGGAAGCCAAGGTTTCCTGATATCTGCTGTGTGCCCTGTGCAATGCTGGGTGCTTTATACACACATCTCTGTGTTAATCCCCATGAAAAGCACGTAGGATAGATGTTGATGTCTCCGTTTCCACACGAAAGCAAGCACACTTGGAGAGCTTACATACCTTCATCAAGATGATGCAGCAAGTAAGCGGCAAGTTGATACCAGAGCCCATGCCTACTCCTTTTTACGTGCTACTCCAGATCTCTCTTCCTTGTGGGGCGGGTGGTCTTGGCCTTCTCACCGAAACCTTGATGGTGTATGCAGTCCAACAGACAGCAGCAAGAGCCCAGTCCCAGCCTTATTACTTGCCATGTAAGCACACCATTGCAACTCCCTGGGCCTCTGCAAAATAGGGATAAGATTCGACGTGTGTGCTTAAGGGGGTTGTGTGGGAATCAGAGCAGAAGGTGCAACTGGGAACCCTGTTGGCACCAGGGCCCTACATGGATGTAACAGCTGATGATGCTCAGGGCTTGAGTTGTGGGGTCCTCTCTCCCTCTCTCCTTCTACCTCTCTAAGGGGGTTCTCTAAGTGGAGGCCCAGGTAGAGCTCAGGCTGAGCCTTCCTCTCTAAGAAAATGGGCATTAGAGCCAGAGTGATCTGGGTTGGTTCTCTGTGCTGCCACTTAGCAGTATATTGTGACCTTCAGTAAGATCTTGACCTCTTTGAGCCCTGGTTTCCTGTCCATCAAGGGGGAGAAATACCACGTTGTCAGTCTGTTAGGCTTAAATGTCACTAAATGTTGGTCCTATTCCTCCTGACTCTAGGAGCTGGTGCTCTGGGGACCACATGATATAGTGCATTCACAGACCTCTTTTCTTGTTCAAACAGCTGCGGAACATAGAATCATCCTCCACTTCCGTTCAGCCGTGATTTGAACTAATACGTGTATAACACTTATACATGACAAGGCCTGTGCTGGGGCTGGCGATACGGCTGTGGACAAGGCAGGCTCCTGGGTTGCTGCCACCTGGGGAGTGGAAAGACATGGAACTGGTCATCATACATATGTGTAGATGGGCCTTAGCGTTCTGGTCGGTGTGGTGAAGGAGAAGTTCATGTGCCGAGGGGCTAGGGAAACCCTCCCTGCATGGCGCAGGCTGGGCCTGAAGGATGAGTAGAGTTTCCAAGGGAAGAGGAAGGGCCCGAGTTACTGGGAGAAGAACGTCTTGGGAGATGAGTGTAAGCTCCCGACCTGCCCACTGGCCAGCGAGGCGCAGGCACAGGGAGTGGGGTGCAGAGAGGCGGGAGAGGGAGGGCTTCAGCATGGTGAGATTTTAATGTCTGTCTAGGGCATCGTTTGTGGTTAGGGATGCCTCCAGAGGCAGCCTGGAGACCTGGGTGGAGCTAGGACCCATGCTTTCGAGTCCCAGCTCTGCTGCTGACCCCCGGGGCATCCTTGAGCCCCTGGTCCTTTTGGAGACAGTTTTATCCCATCTTCAGCCTAGCAGGTGTTAATAGGCGTCTCACAAACAAACCTGCTTTGGAAACCTTCGAGTCCTCACACAGGTGTAAGGGGTCCTCATGGCCTCAGTCCACGAAGGATTTGGGGTGACTCGTGAAAATACATACGGTATAAAAGGATACACTTAGTAGTTGGGTCAGAGGGAAATTATTGGTAAAAAGACAGAAGCTGGGCTGATGATTAGCACCCCAAATTCACTCCACTCTGTCTTCCTGAACATCTGCAGAGGCGGGTGGGCTGCTTGATTGACTCTGAATTCTTCTTGGCTGTCTGAACAGAGAGACAGGATCAGGTACTTGATTCACGACCCCTCTAAGGTATTTGGAAAAAAGTGACTGTGGAAGGGCGGGGTTTTTCCCCTGCACTGGGGCCGAGACTCTGGCAGGGCCACTGGGTGAGTCCGTAACTGCTTGTCTGTCCTGTTCACAGGTCTGCTGGAAGCACTGGGCGATGAACCCGAGACTCCAGCCCAGAGTGGTCTGAAGCTGTTTGGGAAAGCGGAGGAGTGCTGGGGAAGATGGCCATGGCCCCAAGCCCTTCCCTGGCTCAGGTGTACACCAGCCCTGTGGCAGTGGCCGTGTGGGAATGGCAGGACGGGCTGGGCACCTGGCACCCCTACAGTGCCACTGTCTGCAGCTACATCGAGCAGCAGTTTGTCCAGCAGAAGGGCCAGCGCTTTGGGCTGGGGAGCCTGGCCCACAGCATCCCCTTAGGCCAGGCTGACCCCTCGCTGGCCCCTTACATCATCGACCTCCCCAGCTGGACCCAGTTCCGCCAGGACACGGGTAAGACATGTCCTGCCTCTAGTAGATGGCCGAGCACATGCTTTGCGCCAGGCCCCGTGCTAGGCGTTGGGGTTGTGGGAGTGACTCTCAGAGCTTCATCCTGTCCCTGAAATGTGGACGATCAGGAGGCGGGTGCTCTGAGTGATAGCAGGTACCACACAGCATACACTGTCCCTCTTAGTAGGGGAGGGTGCCTTGGGAACACAGTGCAGAGGCCCTCCCAGCCCCTTTTCACTTATCTCCCAAACCAAAGATGCCCCTCTCTACCTGCAGAGATTTGAAGGCAGGCAGGCTGGCATGGAGGTGATGCACCATGCTAGTTAAGAGGGCCTGGTGGTGAATCCTGCCTCCACTGCACTATAACTCTGCATCCTGGGCAGGTTGCTTCACTCTCCTGTGCACTTATGTTTGCTTTTTGTGTGTTTTGATCAGTATTACTGAGAATGGGGCTGCCAACTTCCTCCCGGAGCTATCCCCTGTCCATCTAACCCAGTGGTTCTCAACTGTGGGTGATTTTTGTCTCCCAGGACATTTGACAATGTTTGAAGACATTTTTGATTGTCATGACAGTGGTGGGGAGGGAGTGCTACTGGCATCTAGTGGGTGGAGGCCAGCAATGCTGCTAAACGTTCTACAGTGTACAGGACCAGCCCTGTGACAAAGAATTATTGGCCCAGAATGACACTAGTGCTGAGTTTGAGAAACTGCTCTAGCACCTGTGAGCAGCATCCTCAGATGTGTGAAGACTGTGGCTTCCAGTCAGTCAGATGCAGATAAAAGTCCCTGCCTTCATGCTGTTTGCAGTCAGCTGAGAAAGATAGCAAACAAGATAATGCATAAATTGTATATCGTGTTAGATGGCAATAAATGCTAAAATGGGGTGTAAGGTGTTGGGAGAGGTCCGTTTGAAGTTTGAGCCCAGATGCAGAGATACCTGAAGGAAGGGCAGAAGGGAGGGGCAGGTTGTGCAGGCTTGTGTCCCTCGAAGGGACTTTGGCTCTCCTTCTGAAAGGGGGAGCCGTGGGAGGATTTGGGCACAGGAGTGATGTAATCTGATTTGGGGGTTAAGAGTATTCCTCTGGCTGCTGTGGATGAGGCAGTGGCTGAGGCCTGGAGACCAGGTAGAAGATAATTGCAGGGATCAGCTTTGGCAAGTGCTATTGGAAGGATGGCCCAAATTGACTTTTTTCTTTTTCTCCTTAATCTTCAGGTTGGGTTTATTAAGAATATAAGCTACCCATGGGGTGCTTCCTAGTAGTTGCAACTTGAGAAGTCAAAGAGTGTGGTACATCCCTATAAGAGAATTATGTAACAAGTATGAATGAGTTTTACAAAGTTGTAGAGACATAGGAAGTGCTTATGGCATAATACATGATAATGGCAGGAAGTTTCCAGTATGATCGTCAGCCACCTAAGTGTGCGTGCCTAGAAGACTGGATGGGGAGAAACGTCTCACCATATAAATTGTGTGCCTTCCTCTTGGTGGCTGGATTACGAATGATTTAATTTTCTTTGTACTTTTCTGTTTCCAGTATTTTAAGTGAGGCTATGTAGGTTTCAGTATTAGAAATCTGTGAGAAGCCTCCTGGAGTCTGAGCCATAGCTATTCTTTGACCTAAGCTTCCAGCATCCCCCACTCCTGCCGAGGAGCACGGATCCCGCTCTGCCATTTGATCTCTTTGAGCCCCAGTGTCTTTACCTCAAGACAGCTCTCTACCCTTCACCCAAAATTTGGAAAAAATGACCAGTGCCAGCCTTTAGTTCAGATAGCAGTGTGACTGTATACACTGTGATCATATTGGTTTATTTTGGTTCTGGGAAAATGAATTTTTAAACTCCCTTCGTTTTGGGGGGCTTGCAGATGAACCATTTATGTGTAAATACTCCTTTTAAAACAGGCACCATGCGGTCTGTGCGGAGACACCTGTTCCCCCAGCATTCAGCCCTGGGTCAGGGCATCATCTGGGAGTGGCTGAGTGATGACGGCTCCTGGACAGCATATGAAGCCAGCGTCTGTGACTATCTGGAGCAGCAGGTGGCCAGGGGCAACCAGCTCGTGGACTTGGCCCCCTTGGGGTACAACTATACTGTCAACTACGGCACCCACACACAGACCAACAAGACTTCGAGCTTCTGCCGTAGCGTGCGGCGCCAAGCAGGGCCCCCTTACCCGGTGACCACCATCATTGCTCCGCCGGGCCACACGGGAGTCGCCTGCTCTTGCCATCAGTGCCTCAGCGGTGGCGGAACTGGCCCCGTGTCAGGCCGCTACCGCCACTCCATGACCCATCTGCCCGCGTACCCTGTGCCCCAGCACTCCCACAGGACCGCCGTTGTCTTTGGGGCGCACCAGGCCTTCGCCCCGTACAGCAAGCCCTCACTCTCTGGGGCTCGGTCTGCACCCAGGCTGAACAGCACCAACCCCTGGGGTGGGGCGCCACCCTCCCTGGGGAATCAGCCCCTCTACCGCTCCAGCCTCTCCCACCTGGGACCACGGCGCCAGCCCCCAGCACCCTCCACTGCTAGTGGAGCCAGGTACCTTGTGTTGTTGAGGATCGTTTTGTCCACCCGCGTGCCTCGTCAGCAGGTTTGGGCTTCTGCTATTACTTAGCTGGGAATTCTTGTCCAAATACGTGTAAACCTGGCACCTGCCTCTTTGGTTGTCCCTCCTACGTTTCTCTCCTTGCGTGTGCAAAGGCTGTCGACAGCCTTGTGTCCCATGGAGCCTACCTGACATTTGGTACTTGAGTGCTGATAGTTGCCACATGGGTTAAAACCAGTAACGCCTTCATTCATTCAGGAGAATAGGGCTGTCTCTGTAGAGCAGTTAACGACCTTTTGGCTGTGCCTGTGTGCCACGAAGCTGGTGCTGTGTACCTGAGAACATTTCATTGGCTCCTCCTATGTGTCAGGCCCTGAAGACACAGACATGAAAGATTCAGTCCCCTCCCTAAGTCCACGGTTAGGAAGGCTGTGAGCCCAGTTTTGGTGCTTAAAAGTTGGTTGAGGAGAGAACAAAATGCTGAGTTGGGGGGTGGGTGGCAACAGGTGGCACTGGACATCTCTTGTGCTGATGCAGTCCAGCCTAGTGTCTCGTAGAGCCCTCTGCACCTTGATAAAGATGATGAAATAGGCCCCCTCCAGACCAGGTGGCGCTTTAAAGTGAGAAACCCCCTGGCGTGGCCAGTGTGTGTATAGGGGGTGCTTCCAGCATGCTCGGAGACCTGTCACTGATTGGGGGCCTCATCATTGGTCATTATTGGGAGTGTTGGGCAGGAGAACATTTGAGAATTAGCAGTTGAGTGTTAGCTGGGATGGGACTGATTTCTGAGAGAGGGTGACCTGGGTGGGAAGTGACTGGACGTGTGGGCCTGTGGCTGCCCTGTTCCCCAGGGAGTCAGTCACGTCTTGTTGATTTGGACCAATGTCGACTAAGTCAGCATCGTGGTGCCGCCTTGCTCACCCAGCCCCGGCCCTGCCCACTTGACCATGGTGAGGGTTGAAGCTGCCCTGTGTGGCCGAGACCTTTTCGGCAGCTTCTTGGGCCTCTAGCATTTTTTCCAGCTAGGTTTCAGAGGACCCTGCCAGCTTCTTGGAGACACGGTGACAGCTGCCATTCACCAAGCACACGTTATGGCCGGGCCCTGTTGAGCTGGCTGCGTGAGTGATTTCATGAATCCTCACAACGGCCGTATGGTAGGTGGTGTCCTCAGCTTATAGGTCAGCACCCTGAGGCTGGAGGTTGGCGGCACAGCCAACAAGTGGCAGAGCTGGAATTAAACCCAGGCCCCAGAGCGGGCCGTGTGTGACAGTGGAGCCTTGAAGCTCTCTTAAAGGCAGAGTGAGGAAGGCGGCAGGCGTCCTGGGGAGTGAGTGGGGAGGAGTCTGGTAGACAGAGGAGGCGCTTGGGCCCCGGCTGGTTCAGGGCATCTTCTCCTGGGAGTTGGGGCATGTGGATCTGAGATCTTCCTGGGAATTGGGAATACAGGGAGGTTTCACTTGGGCCTTCTCTGTGGACAGACCTGAGCAATCTGTGCCACCCAGTCCCACCCAGTTCTCTGTGAGGCCCCTCCCATATGTGGCTCAGTCTCTTTTAGAGAGAAGTGTGCTATTTCTGCCAGCCCAGAATGGTTATCAGCATGGCTGGAGGTGCTTCTACTAGTTGGGCTTTGCCTAGCTTCCTGGGGCTTCTTAAGGGCTTACAAATTATTTTGAGGCAAATTTCTAGATAGTTTTAGAGCTGGGATTCTGGGATTGAGCCAGGTGACTTAATGGGCTTCGTTGCTTTCTTCTGGTATGGGGAAGATCAAGTCCTTGATCTCCTCTAATATTTCTCTGGGGTCTCCCCTCCCCATCCTGAGGGCCCGAGAGACTGCTGATGCGGGCCCTAGTGATGTGGGCCGGGCAAGTTGCAGAAGGGAAGGCGGCTGGGCCAGACGGTCTTACCTTTGCTGCTGGGCCATGCCTGTTGCTGCTTGCCCTGCGTTGTGAGCCAGGAAGGAACCAGGCCAGCTGACTCTGTTAGTTGAAACAGCCTTAAAGGGGCCTGCCTCCTGAGGTGGGTGTTCATCTGTATCTCCAGTTTTTGAGGAGCTGGGAGGGGTATAATTCACTTGCATGGGCCTATCCTTGCTTTGAAAAACAGAGTTTTCCCCTATCTAGTTTGTAGTGCAGCCTCCTCAGTTAACTGGTCTCTGATGGGTGTTGTAGCGCCAGAGGGGCTTAGTAAATACGTGATCTCTTAACCCAGCAGTGATCTCTTAACCCAGCAGCGCTGGGAGCATTGACAACACTTGACACTGTGGTCTTCCTGGAGGCTGTGATAGAGTTCTTGAAGCCAATTGAATGTCAACAACATTAGGTGAAAGTTGCCCTGTGGGAAGGCAGTGGGGCAGGTAGCACCATGGTCTGGGGAGGCCCAAGAACTGGCTGTATTTGCTGGTAGCCTCTGGAAATAACATGGGAGTGAGTGAAATCAAAATTGGTGGAACCTATGTGGTTTCAAATCGCCTCTTGCTCAATCTGGGTAAAATTTTGGCTGACTGATTTCTTTGGGCCCTGGGAGGCTTTCTGAGTAGACACTAATACATCAAGAAGGTGCGTCATTTGTCACAGAGCTGCAGGGTTTAAGTAAATTCCTGGTGGCTGAAGTTTTATCCCTTTAAGCACCAAAATTTGTGTTTTGATGACGTTGGATGGAAACCTTGCCAAAATGTGTCATGCACACTCTTGTCTTCTTTAATAGAGGGTGTGCCGGCTTGTTGAGCATTTTGATGACTTGCAATGGTGATTCTGACCAGCAGTCTATTGCAGCTTTGCTGTGGCTAAGCCTCGGGGCACTTGGCCCTTGCAGAAACAACCCTAGAAATGGCTCTCCCAGTTTGCTTTCTTCTGCTCTGTTCTTGCTGCTGCTGCTCTACAGCCTCTGAAAGCACCGCACTCCCTCCTGCTGTGAGCCAGGCTCTTGAGGCTTGCAGGATTGGGGTCCTGGGTTCCGAGTGGAGCCTCTGTTCCCGTTCCACGTCTCTGTCTTCCCCTTGTAGGATTAAGGAGTTGGGCCGGTCAGCTTCTGAGTTTCCTTTTGCTCTAATATCGCTGTGGCTTTCAGGATGTAGTGAGGGCCCTTCATCTCTCCTGTCCCCACTTTGCTCCTCTGAGACCTGGGAAACAATGGACATTTGTACTGGGCTGCAGATTGAGCCTCACACTTGCCCTGGGGGCCTTTTGGAATTATTCTCATTTTACAGATAGACAAACTGAAGCTCAGAAAGGGGTCTTGACACGCCTGAGGGCACACAGCCTTACAGGGGAGTGGGCACTAGAAGCGGGGTCTCCATACTCCACATGTTTTTCTTTTCTCTCTTTTTTTTTTTGAGGAAGATCAGCCCTGAGCTAACATCCGTGCCAATCCTCCTCTTTTTGCTGAGGAAGACTGGCCCTGAGCTAACATCCATGCTGATCTTCCTCAACTTTATATGGGATGGCGCCACAGCATGGCCTGACAAGTGGTGCTTCTGTGCACGCCCGGGATCCGAACCCAGGTCGCCAGCAGCAGAGCACTCGCACTTAACCGCTACGCCACAGGGCCGGCCCCTCCATACTCCACATCTTACGCTCCTTGTACTGCAAGAGCTGTCACAGGTTCCCTGGTGCCAGCCTGAACCCGAGATTGTGGGGGACTGGAGGAAGGCTCTGCATTTCCTTACTCCCCAGCCTCCTACCTCTGCCTCTTGCCTGGGGTTGTGAAATCCTGTCTGCATAGAGGCCTGGACATCCTCGTATCTCATGTTCTCAGCTCCATTTGGAAGCTCCTGGAGATGGTCCCAGATAGGAAAGCCAGGTAGGGCCTAGTAGGTAGACCCAGGACCAGGGGAGGTGGAGAGGGCTGCCTCGGACAGTGACTGGAGGGAATTCTCAGAGAAGGGCACTTAGTGGAGCAAATGGTGCTCCATGTCGGGGAGCACTCGGCTAGTCTGAGCCCTTTGAGGATAGTTGAGAGTGATCAGTGACCTCTGAGGTTCTGTCCACCATTGAGAGGCCCCATCCTGGGGACCACTGGATCCTTTTACTGCTCGTGCCTTCTGATCAGGGGAACATATGGAGGAGGAGCCCGGGATAAATCAGAGGAAGTGGCAACATTGTGAGGCTCCTCTGCAGGTGGAACTTAGTCACAGTTCCTGGTCCCAGGTCCAGGGTGGACTGCCCATTGGAAGCCTTACTGCATGTCTGCTTTCTGCTCTAGCTCTTGGTGGTAGGACCTAAAACTAGTCCTTCTCCCTCAGATACATGCCTCTCCCCAGCAAAGGAAGACCCCGCTTCCTGGACCCCCTCCAGTGATGCCTAGCTCACTGAGTAGACCACTGATTTTGTGGAGTTGTAGAGCCAGGCTTTGGCTTTCCAGCTTCCTCGCTGAGGGCTCAAGCCCAGCGCTCCCTGTAGAGTTGACTTGGGAGATGAAGGATGCTGGGAAGGGCCGTAGCTTCTCAAATTCTTTCACTTATAGAACCTGAGAATAGCAACAATTGTCAGAGATTATCTGTCTTCCTTTTAAAAAACGAAATGAAGAAACAGGCTTAGGAAGTGGAGGTCCAGATTGCTCCAAATTAAACAGAGTTTAGTGGGGTCAGAACCGTAGCCTAGGTGTCTGAAGGCCCAGCCCTCTTTCTGCTGCATTATCAGCACTCAGATCCAGTTCCACCCTTCTCTTGGTTGAGAAAAGATGAGGAGGGCAAGAAGATGCTATTTGAGTGGCGTGGCCACACAGGTTATTCTCTTTGTGGGGAACAATCCAGAAATGAAAACCGAATCACCTCTTTCTTCACTCGGACAAATACCGGAGCACCTGCTGTGCTTCAGACCTTGTGCAAGGCCCTGGCAGCTTTAGCACCAGCTAAGTGTGACGTTTTCTGGTTTGGATCAGGACCAGCCAGCTGCCTGTAGTTTCCACTGGCGGGATCTGTGACCCGTGGCTGGTGGTAGGGAAGGATCCAGGGCAGTTTCCAGAAGCAGCTGCTGTAACCAGGCAGCTTGTTGGGTTGCTGGCAGCTGTAAGGGTAGCACAGTAGACTGGGGCCGTCCATCATTTCCTGAGCACTTGCCCAGTTCCTGGCTCTGAGCTGGGCCCAGTGGAACAGAGATGAGTACGCCCAGGCCCTGTCCTTGGAGCTCCAGTGTAGGGACTCCGTGGGAGGGTTTCCTAACTCTTCTCATTTCATCATCCTTCACATGGGCAGGGATGCAGTGGAGGACACAGGAATCAGGACGGGGAGGAGTTAGCAGGCTTACGGGCCAGCTACAACTATTCTCCAATGTGGGGCTCCCCCCAGCCATAATGGCGTGGATTTGTTATCATTTTAAAAATATAATGGCTTAAAGCCAAATGAGTGACTCAAACGTCATCACTGTGGGAAGCAAGACCCTCATTAAAAAAAAAAGAATCCCTTTATTTTGGACTAATTTTAGATTTACTAAAAAGTTATAAAAATAGAGTTTCTGTGTCTCCCTCCCTCAATTTCTCACGTTAACGTCTTTCATAATAACTGTAATGCAGTGGTCAGAACCAGAGAACTACCATCAGTGCAATACTATTAACTAAACCAAAGACTTTTTTTGATTTTCACCAGTTTTTCCACTACTGTTCTCTTTCTGTTCCAGGATCCTGTCTGGGATCCCACTGTGCATCCATCTCCTCCTTCCGTCAATAACAGTTCCTCAGTCTTTCTTCATCTTCCATAACCTTGACACTTTTGAACAGTTACTTTGTCGAATGTTCCTTAATTTGGGTTTGTCAATGTTTTCTCATGATTGGAGTGAAGTTATGCAGTCTTGGCGCGAACCACAAACGTGATGTTATGTCCTCCTCAGAGCATCGTTTCCTGGGCTTCCTGAAGCTGACAGATCATATTACTGGTGATGCTGGTCTTGATCACTTGTTAGAGTGATTCCTGCTGATTTCCCCTCTACACGTACCATAGAGCCCTTATTTGGATGAAGCTAGTGAGCTCAAAATTCTTCTAGGATTGTCTTCAGAGTCTCTGAATTGCCCAGGGGAACGTTTGACAGTTGAAGCTTCGTTCTTGATACCTTGTACAAAGAAGAGCCTGTGCCCCAGCAGTGTTCTTCTCTGTCGCTGCCATGTCCCTGCCTGCCCTTCCGTCCCGTCCCCAACACCTGGCTTGGAGGTGGATGTGCATCACTTGATTTTCGCAGAAGTGATGCTGGGCCAGGCTCTGGGCTTGGCATCTTAACTATTCAGATTCTCTGAGTTAGTTTGGGTCTGAGGCTGGTGAAATTCAGATTTCTTTGCTCTTCTTTCTAGATCGTTTTCATCAGGGTCCTTAATTTAAAAAAAGAAAAGAAAAAGAAACCTTCACTCACAGAAGCAGCCGTGGAAAGTGAAACTGTGAAGGGGTCTTGGCAGCACTGATTTATTCTTAACTCAGGGTATTGCTCTGACTCTTGTTTCTGCTAAGTTGGCTGCACACGTTAAGCTCTGCTCTCATTTCTCCCAGTGCCTCCCTCCCCAGCGGTCCTGCAAGCAGCCCTGGGAGCATCCCCACCACTGTGCCCGTGCAGATGCCGAAGCCCAGCAGGGTCCAGCAAGCCCTCGCAGGTAGGCACGCTGCTCCTGGGTTCTGGAACAGACTGTGTCCAGCAGGACTTGGTGGGGGGAAGGGGCAGACGATGATGTGGGGCGGGCGTCTTGTTACCCTCTGTGTTCTCATGGAAACCCAAAGGGGCTCCTTGGAGGCAGTGCCTCCTTTGGTGATGGTGTACTACTCCCGGTGAGTGAGCGTGTCTTGCTCTCCTGTGTCTCTCAAGGGGGGTCGTGCCTGATGACTGTGGCTGCCCCTGTGTGGACCTTTCCCCATCCTTTAAATTTTTGCATCACCTTGAATTATGGTTCAAGAATCACTTTTCTGTCCTGAGATGCTTTAGACATTTCCCTAAAGGGACCCTTTGGGGAGCTCAGAACTATTTTGGCTGGAGTTACATTTCAGATAAGTGGCTTTTGTGTCCAGCTAGGTCTTTTGTTAACCATACATCTTTGAACTGTTTTTAAAATTCCTTTTACAGGTGTTAGAGAGCCACTGAAAGTTATTTTTTACCTTATGGGAAGTGTAAAGTATGTAGGAAGGTCGACTGAGGAGTGTAGTGAGCCCCCATCCTTTAAAGGGAATAAGATAACCAGAGTCCGTGTCAGGTGAGTCACAGCGCTAGCACAGGGGCACTGGAGGGGACAGGCCTGGAGCAGGGAGACCCGTGTGGAGCCTGGCTTCATGCTCAGGAGAGCCACCAAGTCCTGGCGGGGCCTGGACAGTGGGCTGGAGGCAAGAGCTTCTGACCTGGTGATTGAACTGGTTGTGAACGAGAAGGAGTGGGATGAGACCTGGTGCACAGCTGCCCAGGGCAGTGCTGTAACCACTCACCATCACTAATGAGGAATAACTAGGGGCTTTGCATGTGTGTTCATTCATTTCATCCCAACAACAACTCTGTGAGGTAGGAGCTGTTATTCTCATTTTACATTTGAAGAAACTGAGGCTCAAAGAATTTCAAAAACTTACCAAGGTCAGCCAGCCAGTCCTTGGCAGAGCTGGGATTCAGCCCCAGGCACTCCTGGCCTCAGAATCTGGGCTCTTCGTCGATACGCTGTGCGGTTCCTGAGTCTGGTGGGAGCACTGGGAGGGGTGGGGGTGATGGCTGTGGTTGGACAGGCAGAGCTGTCCCGGAGGCAGTGGGAGGTCAGATGTGCAACTCAGAGGAGCAGTCTTGGGTGGCCTCTGGCCCCCATGGGAGTGTGTGAGCTCACGGAGACGGCAGTGGGGCACGAGGAAGAAGAGCCCTTGAAGGAAATGGAAGAGAGGTGGTAGAAGATGGGAGAGTGGGGCAGGAAAGCCCAGAGGGGAGACCCTGCCCAGCAGGCCTTGTGGAACCTGCTTCAGCTGCTTGGCCATCAGCCCTGTGCTGGGGCGGAGAGAACAGGGAGCAGAGATGTGGTGACTAGAAAGTTCCTGCCCAGTGTAGGTCTTCTTGTGGCCTCAGATGCCATAGGTGAGTCAGACCTGTGTATCTGTGAGTGCGTGTATGTGCGTGCGTGCACATGGATGTGGTGGTGGTCTTGGAGAAAGGTTGTGGGTGAGCAGGCCCGGCCCGCACGTGGCCCAGCTCCATTCAGCTCTGTGATGGCTAAGGGTTTAATATGGCTAATATCATAACAACCTCTCTGACTGCATCGCAGAAGTGGTCTGGGTGTTGAGCAGCTCTTGCACCCTTTCCTCTGCTCTTGAGGCTGAGGACCCTCTCCAAGCTGCATCCCAGGTTGTCCTCAATGTCCCCGTCGCCTCGGCTCTCAAAGCAGTCCTGGAGGTCACAGGTATTTTAACCTCCATTTTACTCATTGGGGAAACAGACCCCAGAGGTTCAGGACTTGGGCCCAGCTAGGAAAGACTAGAGAGGGGAGCCGGTGGCCAGACACTGCCCTCCTGAATGCAGGGCTCTGGCTGGTACCTGTGGGCGGGACTATTGTCTGGGGCACCCCCGGGAAGCAGGGTCTGGAGAGTGTCCGCTCAGCCTAGCCGTGTTTATGGATTCACGAATATGCATGGCTGTAATGGGGTGAGTGCTTGGGTGTAGGGTTTTGCAGGCGGGTTTACAAACAAATGGTCGTGCCATGGAGGGACTGTGTACCCTTCTGCGCTAGTGGAGGAAGAGATCCACGGAGGAGCCACTCCAGGTCAGGCCAGGAGTGCTGCAGGTGGCAGCTTCACTGGCTGCGGCAGGGCCCAGCCCTCTCCTTTATGGGAGTGGGAGGAGTGGGCCCCTGAGGCTGGGGCCAGGTTCCCATCCTGCACAGGAAGAGGAGTCTCTGCACTTGACGCTGCTGCAGCCCACCCAAGACTGGTCCACTGCGGGGAGTGGTGCTGGGCGTGAAGCCACCTGGGGAATGCCAGAACCGAAGGCAGGTCGGCTTGGACCTGAGCCCTGGTCACTAGATGGAAGGATGACCCTTGGTGTCAGAGACGAGGCGTTTGCACATCTAACTGTACAGGAATTCTGGGGGCTCTGACAGATCAAGGGGGAATCCCCTCAGGTGAACAGAGGAAAAGCGGTGGCTGTCCGAGTTGTTAGAGTTACTTGGGGATGTTGGGAGTTTGGGGGGCTGTCTGTGAGCCCTTGCTGTTGGGGAAGATGTGTTGGCCCACTCTTGGTGTCCCCCACATCCTGGCCGCTAGGTGCTGCGTTTGTGAAGTGTTGGGTGTGGGTGACTTGCATGCTTTTTCACAAGAAGGCAGACCCACAGAGCAGGGGCTGCTTCTCTGCGGGCTGCTAAGTTGAACTTCTCTGTCCGTGCCTTGGATTCACGGGAATGGGTCCTGCCTTGAAAAGGGCAGGAGTTTTGTTCATGCCGGCCTCTTGGAGGCTGACGTGGTGGCCTCAGGGATGTCTTTGTTCCCAGCAGATGGGTACTGTGCACCTCCCATGACCGGCCTCTGCCCCAGGTGCTCAGTGGAGGACAGGAGACAGTCACAGAACAGATATGTGAGTCCTTCCCAGTGGTCAGAAGCTCAGCAGAGTAAAGGAGACGGTTGGAGGGGACGTGGTCCTCTTAGACGGGGTGGTCAGGAAGGGGCTGCCTGCAGAGGTGATGCTGGAGGAGAGGTCTGGTCACAGGGAGGGAGCTAGTGGATGTTGGGGGAAGAGATCATGGTCGTCACAAAGGCCCAGGGTTCTCCTAAGGAATTGTTCCTGTTCTCTCCATCTTTCTGCCCCCTGTGCCTGCTTGTCGTTCGGTCTGCCTGACATTTAGTTCCCAGGGGAACCTGCATTTGAGCCCCTTGGGAACAACCTTGGGATGCTGGTGGTGCCGCTTACCTGATGAGCAGGCACCCAGGGTCCAGCTTTGGTCTGCTGATGTGCACTTGAGCATCTCCTGCTGACCTGCCACCACAATGCCCCCTTCCCCTGCCCACCTTGGCTGTGCTGCCCAGGCTGCTGCCTGGCCTCCGCTTCTGCCCGTGACTGGGTGCATTGGCTGCATTGAGAGCCTTTCTTCTTCTGGTAGAGGTCACAGTGGCTGGCCCCGGTGGAGCCCGAGGCCAGGTTTCCCCTCACCCCTCTGGAGGGGGCAGGGCTGTCTGCCTGTCCTGTCCCTGGTGGGGAATGGGGCCCAGCAGGATCTCCACTTCCTACCCCAGGCCGCCTGCTGCGCCTAGCCCCTGAGCCAGATTCTGAGCACTTGGAAAGCCACCCTCAGGGAGGTGCCCAAGGAGAAGCCCAGAGCTCCCTTTCCCTGGGAGTAGGTGCTTTTGAGCCAGATAGAGGACAGGGAGGATTGGGTAGGTGGCGCTGTGGTCAGCAGGGAGGACTGAGGGTGTGGCAGGAACAGGGACTCCAGCAGGAGGATGTGCTGTGTTCCAAGAAGTATCGGGTCCTCAGAGGGTGTGAAGGGAGCAGTGTGAGGGTCCCACTAGGACGTGTGTGGAGCTCCAGGCTGGGGAGTGAGGCCTCCCCTGAGCAGGCATGGAAAAGGAGTGACAAGAACAGACAGTCCTTCTTGGCGCGACTGCCTGCCGCTGCTCCCTCCCCCTGCGGGCATGCCCACTGTGCTACCACCCAGGGCAGACGGGCTGTTTGATCCTCAGCTGAGGGCACCAGAGAAGGAAGGCGTGGCCCAGGATCTTTGCTGCTCCAGAGAAGTGGTCACAGGGCCATGGGGATGCCTCAGTGTTGGAGCAGGCTTGGGGAGAGCATGCCTGCTCGCCGACTCCAGCAATGGTACTGAAGGCACTGAGACAGCCAAGTGGGGCATGGAAAGCAGGCAGCACCCCGCTGGAGGCAAGGTGACTGGGAGCCAAGGGGGCACAGCCAGAGGGAGCACACGGGGAGGACTGTGAGCTTGAGACCTGTTCACGTTCCCATAGTTTTGCTGTGCCCTTTCATGTCACCTCTTCTGCTCTCCTTCCTTGTGTCTGGCATGGGGTGACGCCACGTGGAACTGCTCAGGAGACTTGCTGGGATGGCATCCTGCCCTCTGCCCCCCTGCATGCTCTGGGCGCAGGCTGACTGGTTGCTTGTACAGACACTGGTGGAAGTCGGGGCGGGAGCTCTGATGAGCCGGGCATTTCACTGGTTCTTGGCCCAGAGCTTAGCCCTGCCGGCCTCAGTAGGCCCTGGAATCCAGCAGCTGGATTCCCTGGGGAGATTGGTGGGTCCTGATGGCTGTTCACAGTGCCACCTGGACTCAACGAGGGTTTGTGGACATCACATGCCGAATGACTCCTCCTAACGTTTCTCCCCTCTCTGCATGTCTGATCTCGCACCCCGTGCAGGCATGACGAGTATTCTGATGTCAGCCATTGGACTCCCTGTGCGTCTTAGCCGCGCACCCCAGCCCGCCAGCCCTCCCGCCTCCTGTCTGGCCTCTAAAAGTCACAGCTCAGTTAAGAGATTGAGGAAAATGTCCATGAAAGGTAGTTCCTGCTCACAAATCCTCTCTGGCCTCTGCTAAGCCTCCTCAAGTCTTGCTGCCTCTGATTCCTGCATCGGTCGCTCTTCTCTGCCTCCCATGGCTCTTCTCCGCTTCCTTTATTCTGCTGGGGACTGGGCTCAGTGGCCCTTCTCCCTGCCCTCGGCAGCAGAGGTGGCCCCCGGGAATCTGCTTTCTGCTCCAGAGCTCAAGTCCTGTCCTCCTGGCGCACTTGGAGCACGAGGGGCCTGTTCTTAACCACTCTGTGACTTTAAGCACAGTGTGGGGGAGGCCTGGCTCAGGATGGGAGACGACTCGGTCCCTTCCCCTGGGGCCACCTTGTGTCTCAGAAAAGGCCCCCAGCCCTGTCTGGCCACCCCTGTGGGGCTACTTCAGAGGGGTCCTCTGATGACCACTGCCCTGCCCATCATGTGGCTGGGGAAGAAGGGGTGTCAGAACCGTGGAAGGTGCTGTGAGTTTTAACAGGACCTGCATGGAGGAGCCTATGGGTAGTAAGTTCTAAACTTGCCATTTCCAAAGCCACTTGTGCCTCTGCCTCCATCACTGGGCCGGAGAAGCATGGACTACTGAAAGCCCAGAGACCTTCAGGGTGGTGCAGTGAGCAGGGAGCATGGCTCTGGCTCAGGCAGTCCTGGGTGTTGGTCTCGGCTGCAGGCTCACTGGTTTCGTGTAGCTTTGTGATCTCACGCAAGCATCTCCATTCACAAGCCGGCTGCCTCCTACTTAGCAGATTGGTTGTGGGAGGAATAGGAAATAGACACGTGAAGCGCCTGGCACACAGTAACGGTGGCTGCTCCGATCATGTCCGTCACCGGGTCTGACCCCCCCCGCACAGGGTAGGAGGGAGGCTCGGGGAGGGGCAGGGCTTTACCTAACCAGCCCCCCACCCCACTGCCAGCAACTGGGGCAGGGCGGGCCGGCAGCTTCCTGAGGCACTGAGCGTTGCCGGAGAGAACACTGGCTCTCAGCAGACCCCCATGCCTTCTTGGGCTCAGATGTCTAGTGTAGTTGCCTGGCTGGTCCCCTTGGAGAAATGTGGTTCATGGAAAGCTACCTTCAGTTCTGAAAGGCTGCTTGTGCGAGGGTGGGTGTGGGATGCTGAGGTGGGCCAGGAGCTGGTCCTGGCAGATGAAGGGTTCTGGGGTTCATATGGAGACTGGCCTGTAGCCACCAGGCTTTTCTGAAAGACCCCTCCCCTCAATCTGAGTAAAGTTCCAGCTACCAAGACGGCCACCCTGTGCTGGTGGTCATTGTGCTTTGGCCTGTCTTTCTCACCACAGTGACCAGAGTCGCAGTCCTGGAAGTCTGTGTGTGGGTATGGGTGTGTGTGTTGGGGAGGGTGTGTTTGTGTGTGTATGGGGGTGTGTGTGTGTATGGGGTGTGCATATGAGCGTGTGGTATTCCTTTGCCTGTAGCTGCCGTTCAGGTAGTAGCAGCTAATGCCTTTACAACAATCACAGCTTTGGTTGGTATTAGGTTTCCAATTTTAGGTAAGGGAACTGAGACTCAGAGGTGACAAGATGTCACAGCATGAGAGCCACAATCAAACCTGATGTTGCCTGGTCCCAGCCTCTCTACTCCCCTCACAACTGTCACCTGCCTTCTCTGGTCTAGAGGGAGCTCAGCTGTTGAGCCTTTAGATCTACTTGTAAGTCTTTTCAGCCACAGGCTGATGGCCATGAGCTTGGGTTCACACCAGAGCCCTTGGTCTCGGAGGCTGAGACCAGGAGCTCCCCAGTGACCTTGAGGTGGGTTGAGGAGCCTGCCAGGCTTGCTTTTTCAGACTGTGCTGGTCTTGCTCCTCTTTTCTGCTCCCGCACGGGCTTGGCTGCTCTTCTCTGATTCTGCCGCTGCCTGGAGAGCCCTCCGGGCTATGCCGATTCTCTCTTGCTAGCTGGGGGAATTTCTTGTCCTTGGGGTGTCCCATTGGTGCAGGGTGTCCCCTCCCAGCTTCATGCACGTGTGTGCACAGAGGATGGGAAGTTTCTAGAGGAGTGGGGTGGGTAAGGCGCCCTTCCTGCTGCATCTCAGGAGCTTCGCGGAGCCGATCGGCTTAGGAACCGAGTGGGTGTGTCACTGAGGCCCCGCAGTCCAGGGACAGGCGTGAAAAGTCTGTGGTTTATCGTGATAGTGTGGCCAGTGTCTGCGGTCGGCGTGCACACAGATGCTTGCACGAGATAGGCACCCGCTACACACTTGACTTATAAAACTTACTTTTCTTACTGAGACTTTCACACAAGAATAGTTTGCCTTAGAAGCTGCTGTTTGAGTCTTCCACGCATCCTTGGAGGAGCTTGGGTCCAGTGTCCTGACCTGATGTGCACAGGGGTGTGGCTCTTGAGGGCCGTGACCAGCTGATGGCTCTGCCCCTCTTCCACCTTCTCCAGGGCTCCTGGGGCGGGGCTGCCAGCAGGACAGGGCTTGGCCAGGCAGAGCTCTGGAGTGTTCTGCACCTGGCACCAGGTCTCTCCTCTCTTGCACGCTAACCTTCCTGTCTTAGGCCCTCTAACATCCCTCCTGGCAGCTTGGACCTCTCCCTTGTCCTCCTTCCTCTCTGGTTTCAGCATCTCCAGTTAGTATTCCTTAGGACACTGCTTATGTTCTTCTCTCTTCTAGGAGGGACTACAAAGCCAGAGCCAGAGCAGGTGATAAGAAACTACACTGAAGAGCTGAAAACAGCCCCAGATGAGGTGGGTGTCACGGGAGCCATGCTGCTCTTGGTTTTGTTTGGAAACAAGGGGCAGCTCCAGATGAAGGACACCAGCCTGTTCTCTGCTGGAAGGGTCCTTCCCAAGGGGCTTATGGGTACCAGGTGCCATGCTCCAGGCACTTGGGTTAACTTCCCAGCCTTCTGGGGGTAGGCAGGCCTTAACAGGAAGAGGATGACTCGGCCTCTGAGACCTGGATTCCCATCTTAGCTTTGCCACAAATGAGCTGTGATCCTGAGCAAAGCTCTTCTCTCACCCAGGCCTTTGTGTAGCCCCTTCCCTGTGCCATCTTGGGGGCCAGGGGTCCTAAAGACAAGGAATGGGAGACCCTGCCCCCCTCCCTGAGGGCTGACGCTGGTGCGGAAGCCGAGTAGCCTTGTGCAGATAGTGGTCCTGCCCTCTGGCTATTGGAAGAGCTGGTCAGCGTTTCTATAATTAACAGGGCCTGCCAGATCCGCCGGTCACAGCCTCAGTATGACCCGAAACTCTCTCTCCTGAGCCACGTTTTTGGGGCTACAGTGCCACTTTTCTCCAGTTTGAATGGAGGGTCCTGGAGAATCTGGAGGGGGTTGGTGGGGTGAGTTAAAGGTCAGTGGTGCCAGACAGAGCCAAGGACTGTCTTCACCTGCTCCTTCTCCTGCAAGTCAAGCACATGCGACAGGTCTGGTTGATAAAGGTTTGGACAGAAACCTGAAGGTCATCCTTGTATCTCCCACCCTCCCCCAGCCCTCTCTGAGCTCCCCCTTCACAGCATCACTCTCTTTTTCTCTTTATGCTCGACCGGCACAGCTGGGCTGCTTTTTGCCCCCAGCCTCCTCCCCTCCCCGCTGCCATCTACACGGTCATGATCATGATGGAGCCCCCTGCTTAAAAGCCCTCAGCGGGGCCGTGACATGTAAGATACAGCTCCAATTCCTGAGCATGGCGATCAGAACCTTCCAGGATCTGGTCCTCTCCCACCTCATCTCCTATCACCTCTGCACCCCTAGCCCCCTGCAGGTGCCACCAGCTCTCCCAAACTGTATGCTGGTTCGTGCTCCAGAACACTTTCCCCTCTACCTGGAATGCCCGTTCTCGTGCTTGTCCATGTGACAAGTTCCCTCTTCCCTGGTAAAGCCCACCTTTGAGGACCTCTCCTGTTCTCTCCTCCGTATCTGGCACTGCCCCTCTTGGCCCATGCTTCTGTTATTGTCCTGGCCCCATGCTCTGTGCTGCCTATCGTCCCCTCCACTGCAGTGAGCCCTCTGAGGACGCAGCTCCCCGTGACTCACTGTGTCCCCAGCCCCTGGAACAAATGACTGTTGAATTGACTTTGACTGTAATTCCAGCATTTCATCAGATGAAGGCCTTTTCCTACAGGTCTCACCTCTTTGGGGGCAGCGGGCCGATGGTGAGCACGCCCCATGTTTGGTCTCCCTCCAGGACTGCATCATCTGTATGGAGAAGCTCTCCGTGGTGTCTGGGTACAGCGATGTGACTGACGGCAAGACCATTGGGCCCGTGGCTGTGGGCCGCCTCGCCAAGTGCAGCCATGCCTTCCACCTGCTCTGCCTGCTGGCCATGTACTGCAACGGGAACAAGGTGCCACACGGTGGGCCCGGGTGGGGGTCGGGTGACCTGCCCATAGTCCCGTCCTGGCCACGCTGCATCTGAGCAGGTGACTGTAGCTGTCCTGTGAAGGACCCAGGGCGTGCTCGGTGGCGGCCCTGAGACATCAGCAGCCCTTGCCCTGCAGCGGGGTGGGGGTTGGCAGGTGGAGGGCTGGGGGTGGCAGGTGACACCTGGCTGCTGTTCCTTCAGTGGGGTTTAGCTGGAATGGACAGAGAACTGAGCATGAACATGGCAGACCTTTGCGCCTGGCATGGGCTCTCTCCACAGTATCCCTGTGCCATCTGTACCAGCCAGGGGGCCAGCACCAACAGGCGATCAGTTGCAGTGTTTTGTTCAATTTTAAACATGATTAGACTGTGAAGTCTTTTGCTCATCAGCCTAAATGTCCTGTCACCAGTCTCATGAGACCTCGCCCCTTTAATGAGAATTGTAGAATGAGTTTCTCATGCAAAAGTCACCTTTCCAAGAAGTCAGTTGGAATAGAGTTTCTGTGCGAGGAGGCTGCCTGGGAGTGGGGTGGTCTGCCTGGAAGTGTCTGTGACAGAGGCCGACCCCTTCCCTGCAGGCCTCTGTCCTGTCTAGACAGCAGGGTAGCTGTGCCCAGGGGCTCTCCCAGGGCTGCCAGCTCAATCTGTGGCGGTCTGCCTTGTCTCAGGATGGAAGTTTGCAGTGTCCTTCCTGCAAAACCATCTACGGAGAGAAAACTGGGACCCAGCCCCGTGGGAAGATGGAGGTGTTCAAGTTCCAGGTGTCCCTCCCTGGCCATGAGGACTGCGGAACAATACTCATCGTTTACAACATTCCTCATGGCATTCAGGTAAGGCACGGGGGAGCCTCCTTGGACCTTTCCAGAATCAGTCACTTGGGCGCTCTTCTTCCTGCCTTACTCCCTCCCAGCAGTCTGCCCCCCGGTCACTGTGAGAATGCCTATGCTGCCACGCTGAAGCTTCCAGGAGCCAGGAGGCGCTAGTGCTGGGATTAGAGCAAGCTCTTAGGGCCATGGAAGCAAAGAAGTGGCCCTCAGCCCTTTCCTGGGCTCAGGAGGGTTCTCTGGAGGTAGAGACATCTTAGCTGGACTTGTATTGGGCAGAAGGCCAAGCGTGTAAGCAGGAAGAACACTTGTATTGAGGGGCTGGATAACTGGGGAGCCCACGGGCGGGACCCCTCCTAGGGGCAGAGCGTGGGGTTGAGAGGTGCCAGCAGTGAGGCCTGACTGTTCTCCAGAGACCAGCTCAGTGCCCAGATCCAGGCCTGCGTTGGGAGTGGCAGGACCAGGTCTGGATGTCAGGAACAAGACAGGAACCCAAGCAGAAGGCCCGAAGGTCCCAGTGGAGACCCAGACAGGAGCCCTGGCCCCTGAGACCTCCTGCCTTGGGCAAGTTGGGAAGATACAGGGCAGTGGGGACCACGAGCCGATGGGGCCCGTCTGTCACAGACGGGGTAGAGAGGATGCCCATTTGTTTTGTTTAATCACATGCTTTTCCCTGGTTTCCCTCCACTTCTTCTCCATGGCTCAAAGTGCCATTTGAAAACATTGCAGACAGTGTTAGAGCCACAGAGCAGGAGGGGAAGTTAGAGTTGTGCGTGGGTGTGTTGCTGTGTGGCAGAGGGCGGGAGCAAGGCTGTCTGTTGTCCCAGCTGCCCACCTTCCACTGTCTCAGGGCCCCACTCCAGCCACTTCCAGAGCGAGGAGTCGAGGGGCCTGTGTGCCAGCGTGTGTGTGCCATGAAGGAGGGCCCTGCTGTCCAGTCCAGAGAGTCCAGTGCCTGGAGGAGCGTCCATCCCAGCCTTGGATGGGTCCGGTCCTATCAGGAAGAGGAACATTAGCAGGAGTGTCTGATGCCTGGTGGAGCGAGCAGCTCGGGTTCAGGGAGGGGGGGTCATAGGTGGGAGGCCACCATGGTCACGTTGAGTCTTTGAGCTGTGGGATTTGAGACTGCCATTTATTTGGTCACTTGAGCACAGGAACCACCCCAGCCAGGAAGACGACGGGGTGAGGCTGGGCTTCCGGGTCCTGTGCCCTCTGCCATGGTGGGCTCTTCCCGGACACTCGCATGCCCTGTGTCTGTGTTCCTCTTGCAGGGCCCTGAACACCCCAACCCCGGAAAGCCATTCACCGCCAGAGGGTTTCCCCGCCAGTGTTACCTTCCGGACAACGCCCAGGGCCGCAAGGTAAAGGCCTGGCCACTGCCCCCGGGGAGGCCCCTGGCCAGCAGGTCTTTGCCCCGGCTGCTTTTGAGCGGGGCGGGCTGGGCGGGCCGGCGTGGCGGCCACACTGGCTCTGTCTGCACTCACCTCCTTGCTGCAAGGGAGGAGGGGGCGAGACCTGGGGGCTGGCTGGGGCGTCGGCCACTCCTCCCCAGGGACCCGCTGTGGGTTAGGCATCCTCAGGGTGCCAGGGTACAGGGAGAGATGACCCGGACTTCACAGGCGCTGGAGTAGGAGGCGGGCTGTCTTCCAGCAGCCTGTTGGGCCAGGTGACATGCTCTTCAGTCAGGCTGGTGTACCGCTACAGGGAGGGACTGGGGCCGCTTTACGCTGGGTGACGGGACCGCCTGCAGAGCCACCTCTGCACTGAGACCTGATTTGGAATTTTCTAGCTCTGAGAAGGCCGGGGAAGAGCATTCTAGGCAGACGGAACAATTAGTGTCGCTTTGAGTTGAGAACAGCTGGGAGGATGTGAAGAGCCTGAGGGAGGACCGAAGCCCTAGGGGTGGGGGGTGAAGGTGGTGAGGGGTGGTGAACATGGCTGTGGCACCCTCCAAGCTAGCCACAGGAGTTGGGTTGTTCTAAGCACGTGTGAAGCTACAGGAGGTGTCAGCAGAGGCGTAAGAACTGCTGGTTTTAGGTTTGAAGAACCTCCCTCTGGCTGTGCGAGAGGATGGACTCTAGGTCCAAGTGTGGAGGGCAGCAGGAGTGAGAGAGAGCAGGAGGCCTGGATTCCAGAGGAGGAAGAGAAGGGAGCTTATCCAAGATGCACTTGAAAGTACTGAAGGATCTGGATGCCTCCGGGCGGCTGTGTGGAGGGCAGGCTGTCGAACGGGAGGGCTGGGCGTGGGGTGGGACAGGGCCTCCAGTGTGAGGTCCTGGGCGTCGGGTTGGCAGTCAGAGTTCCAGGGGGTCAGGGTTGGAGCTGGTGACTGGGGACCCACACTGATGGGATTTCACACTCCACGACTGTGGATGAGATCAGTTAGGAGGGAGTGGAATGGACCAGAGAGAAGAGGAGAGAGCCCCTGCCCCCCACCCTCAGGGCCCTGCCAGTGGGTAATGGTTGAGTGGACTGAGGGCCTAGCGCCCAGCGGTGCGCCTGACCCACAGCTGGCACTTGGTTGACGGTTGCTGCTGCTGTCCTTGTCCTCGTTGCTGGGCACATTAAACCAGTGAAGCGGGGCAGTGGATGCTCCCACCCTGTGGCCTCGCCACCCCTGCACCAGGGTGCAAGATAGAAGGCACAGGCCAGCACTTGTTCACCAGGCCCTCCCTTCTTCCCTCCCCCTCTGCGGGCAGGTCCTGGAGCTGCTGAAGGTGGCCTGGAAGAGGCGACTTATCTTCACAGTAGGGACATCCAGCACCACGGGCGAGACTGACACAGTGGTGTGGAACGAGATCCACCACAAGACAGAGATGGACCGCAACGTCACAGGCCACGGCTACCCCGACCCAAACTACCTGCAGAATGTGCTGGCTGAGCTGGCCGCCCAGGGGGTGACCGAGGACTGTCTGGAGCATCAGTGACCCGCCAGCCTGGCTGGCCCCATCCCAGACCCACCACGCCTGCCTCTGGCAGCCAGCTGCCCCGTCCCCACTGCTGGCTGGGCTGCTCCTGGGATGGGCAGGTGGGAAGGCGCCTTTTCTCAGGCTGAAACGTTGCTGGGGGCACAGGCGTGCTCCCCCAGAAGCCAGGGCTTCTCCTGCCTACCTTTCCCCCTTCCTCCTCCCCTCCAGGCCCGGGTCTGCGTGGGAATTGGGCAAGCCTGGGGAGTTGCACTCATGGGGGCTTAAGATGCAGCTACCTCAGTGCACAGAGCCCTCTGTCCTCGGCGAGCTGCTTCAGGCCCGCAGTGCCGGGGGCCTGGCGTGCGGTGAGGAGAGATGGACCTATTCCCAGCCAGGGGCAGGCATGGGTTCTGGGTCAGCTTCTCATACCTCACATGTTCTGTTTGCAATAAATGCCCTATAGCCAAAGTCAGCAGGCCCTAGTGTTCGTCAGTGGAGAGGCTGCGTGTGTGGCTGTGTACACGCATGTGCTTGCGTGTTCTGACATGTGAAGGCCAGCACACACGTCCTGCTGCATCAGGGCAGGCAGGGACCTTATGGGCTGCCCATTCAACCCCATTTTCTAAATGAAGACACTGAGGCTGCGGTGAGGGCCAGAGAGCCCGTGGCCTGACCTGTGTTGCTTCCCCCGGCCCCCACTCCACTTCTCCTTGCAGTGTTTGGTCCAGCAGCTCAGAGCCCCTATCCCGTTTGCTTCCCCAGGCTTCTGGTTGACACGCTGCTCATGTGCGGTGGTTGCTGCTGTCTGCACTCTACAGATGAGGGCACTGAGGTTGAAGGGTGCAGCCACGGGCCCAAGCTTCCCAGCTAGTGATCGAGCCAGGGCTGGTCTGACGCCATCCTGAAAGTTCTAGTTCTTCTCGGCCCTCCTAGAAGGAGGGTCAGATCCTCCCAGACTTGTCTGCCAGGGGAGCGTGGTGGTGGCCTGGGGCTGGAGGGACACACGGGGCTCCATTAGGAGTGGCCCCCGTCTCTGCAAGAGAAAAATTAAATTCTATTTACAATGTGTTGGTATAAAGATGAATACATTATATATTAGAGCATATTTTTTTTGCCTAAAAGTTTGGTGTTTTTCCTTCTGATTTTAAAATAAAACATTTTCGTGGGCCCCTAAAAGGATTGTGGGCCCTGGGCACCAAGCCCACTGTGCCTCATGGAGGAGTTGGTCTTAGGGAGACCTGGCTGGACCCCAAACCTGTTGGGTTCCACAGTGAGGCTCGCTTTACTGGTTCAGAGCACGGGAGTCGGGTGGGCATCTGAGTGCTGCCATCCCATCTGCTCCCACTGGGAGAGTATCGTGCAAGTCAGAGTTGGGGGGAGTGTCTGCAGATCACCCACCTGACAAGGGTCTGGTCTCCAGAATAGATAAGAACCCTTACAGCTCAACAATGAGAAGACAAATGCCCAGTTTAAAAAATGAGCAAAGGACTTGACATTTCTCCAAAGAAGGTAGAGAGATGGCTGAGGAGCACATGAAGGATGGTCAGTCTTTAGGGAAACAGATCAAAACCACAGTGATGCCACTTCACACCCATTAGGCTAGCTATTGCCAAACACGGGAAATGGCAAATGTTGGTGAAGATGTAGAGAAATTGGAGCCCTCATCCACTACTGGTGTGAATGCAAAACAGCCACTTTGGAGAACAGTTGGGCAGTTCCTCAAAAAGGAGTTACCGTTTGACTCGGCAATTCCACCCCTAGGTATATATGCAAGAACTGAAAACATGTCCACACAAAAGCTTGTACATAAATGTTCCTAGTGACATTATTCATAGTAGCCAAAAAGTGGGAACAACCCAAAATATCCATGAGCTGATGAACAGATAAAATGTGATCCCTCCATACAACGGAATATTATTCAGCCATAAAAAAGGAATGAAGTACTGACACATGCTACAACTTGGATGAACCTTGAAAACATGCTAAGTGAAAGAAACCAGACAGAAAAATCCACATACTGTGTGATTCTGTTGATAGAAGATGTCCAGACTAGGCAAATCCATAGAGGCCAACAGTAGATTAGTGGTTGCTGGGGGGTGGCGGGGATGGGGAGTGACTTTTCACGGGTATGGAGTTTCCCTTCGGGGTGATGAAATGGTCTGAACTTAGTGGTGGTGATTGCACAACTTTGTGAATAGACTAAAAACCACTGGGCTGTACACTTTAAAAGGATGGATTATATGGTATGTAAATTATATCTTAATAAAAAATAGAACCAAGGGAGTAATGTAAGTAGGGGGGCTTGTCAGCTGTCGAGGGCTTTCTCTGACTCCAGGCTCTTCCTTTGGACAAGGGAACTGAGGAGCGAGGGATGATGTGGCCTTGTGGTGGGAGAGCGGCAGGGCCAAGGGGCTACGATGGGGCTGGCACCGGAAAGGATGGAGCCGCCCTGCTCTTGCTCTGGCTCCCTGGTTGGGGATGGAAGGCCCGAGGGAGGCTCCTGACACCTGGGGTGCAGGAATTTCAGGCACGTGGCCCTGGGCCCACGTTTCCAGAGATTGGCGTCCTCCCCAGGGCTGGGAGGCTGCATGGAGCCTGAATTCAGACATGGGACTTGGGGGGTGGCCTGGCTGGCATTTAGGGGTGCGGTGGCCTCTCTTTCAGCCCTGGTGGTGGGAGCTGGCACGGGCTGCCCGGCACTAGAACCTTGCCCAGCTCCCTCCCGTGGTGGGCTGGGCTGGTGGGAGGGGTGGGGGGTTCATTTAGGTTTTCAGGTCTTTCCAGCTCTTGGCCAGCCAGGCAGCCTGACTAACCAGCTCCTCCAGGCCCGAGGTGTTGGGGGAGGGGCACAGCAGGAGGCAGCCAGATCAGCCCCAGGCTGTGGATGTGGAAGAAGGCCCTGTGGTCAGGCAGCCATCATGGGGCTCCCCCAGAGGCAGCCTCACCTGCAGCTGCTGCTCCTCGTGGTGACACTGGTGTGGCCTCAGCCCTGCATGAGCCTGGGTGAGTGGGGGTCCTGGGACGAATGCACTTGGCCAGGGACTGGGGCACCTGCTGGAGTGACTGGACCCCAGGAGGCCACCCCCTCCGACTGGAAGAGGCAGCCAGCCCCCAGGGGTGAGGGGCCCCCGGGACCCTCACGCGTCTCTCCATGGCCGCAGAGCTGGTCCCCTACACGCCGCGGATAACAGCCTGGGACCTGGAAGGGAAGGTCACGGCCACCACGTTCTCCTTGGAGCAGCCGCGCTGTGTCCTGGACCGGCATGCCCGTGGTGCCGACACCCTCTGGCTGGTGGTGGCATTCAGCAATGGTGTGTGCTGGTGCAGGTCTGGGGCCCGGGGTGAGAGTGGGGCTGAGGAGAGCTGCAGGCTCCTGGGAGCACCTCACCATCAATGAGGGTGGATTGGGGTTGGGCTTTACTCCAGGGGGCTCTGGGAGGGTGACAAAATGACCTGATTTGTGTCTGGAGGGGGCTTCCTGAGGCATGGGAGGCCTGGGGTGGAGGCCTTGGACACAGCGGGGGCTATGCCCTGCTGCCACATGTCTGTCCCTCCCTCCTGCAGCCTCCAGGGACTTCCAGAACCCGCAGACACTGGCGGAGATCCCAGCCTCCCCACAGCTGCTGACTGATGGCCACTATATGACACTGCCCCTGGCCCTGGACCAGCTGCCCTGCGAGGACCCTGTGGGTGGCAGCAGCGCCCCCGTGCTGCGGGTGGGCAATGACCCCGGCTGCCTTGCTGACCTCCACCAGCCGCCATACTGCAATGCCCCCCTCCCCAGCCCTGGACCTTACAGGTGGGTCACCCTGCCCGGGCCTGGGACAGGGGCTGTGCTGGGAGGGGAGGAGTTTTGGAGACCAAGGCTGCCTTTCCTAGCCTCTCCCCAGGCCCCTGTCCTGGCTCCACCCCTACACAAGCCTCAGTTTCTTCCTCTGCGGGGTCGGGCAGCAGTGCTCATCCCAGGCCGGGGGTAGGCAGAATGCGGCCTTTCCAGGGGTCCCATGAGGAGGAGGTAGACACCACAGAGCTGGTGGAGATGGAGTCGGGTCTGCAGACCCAGTCAGGGGGTATGAGGTGGGGAAGCAGAAGAGAAACTACCACCCACTTTCATAGATGAAGAAACTGAGGCAACAGAGCGCCAAGTGGCTTGTCAAGGTCAGGGGAGGAGCCAGGGTGGGAGATCAGGTGTCCAGACCAGAGCTGCTCTGGCCACAGGACGAGGCCAGGGTCCTCAGGGAGACCAAGTCCAGCTGGGAGGACCGGCAGGCGGTGCAGGGAAGGCTGGGCGTGGTGTGGGCTGGACCAGCGCCTCCATCTGCCGCCTCCCACTGCCTTTTTTAAAACACCCAGCCCTGCCAGGTCCACCTGCCCCGCCCCATGGCCACCCCCTGGCTCTGCCTCCAGTTTCACCTCCTGCCCCACCCCAGCCACCAGAGCCCCTTCCCTCAGGGCCAGGCTGCCTGGGTCCCTCGGTGCTCAGAAACCTGCCAGAGCCCCCCACCTCCATGCAAAGATACAACCCTTGGTGCCCTCTGTGTTCAGCTCGCCCCCTCCCTGTGATCCTGGGCTCTGCGTACGCCCTGACCACATCCCTCCCCTCCCCGGGCCTTGGCCCGGGGTGCCTGCCCCTGTTGGGGGACCTTCCATGGCCTCAATTCTCCTCTGGGAGGCCTGGGGGCCCCAGTCCCGCTGAGCCACGCTGAGGCACCCTGTATGTGACATTCAGTAACTGAGGCCCCTAAACCAGATGAGGTGTCTGGAAAGGGACGGCTCAGATGGATTGGGGCTGCAGGCAGAGGTCACCGTGGCCAGAGAGGTCAGAGCAGGGCCAGGCCATGGCTGGTTCTGGTGTGCCCCAGCCTCCCTTATCCAGGGGAAAGACCCACAGCCTGGCCCAGGAGAGCTGCCTGGGGCCCGGCCTTGGTGGGCGCACTGCCCGGGGCAGTGAGGCCCTGAGCCTTACCCCTCCTCCTCTCCCCAGGGTGAAGTTCCTTCTGATGGACACCAGGGGCTCACCCCAAGCCGAGACCATGTGGTCTGAGCCCATTGCCCTCCACCAAGGTAGTGCGCTGTGGGGGGGGGGAGGTGCTCTGGCTCCAGTCTGCCCCATGTGGGCTCGTCACCCTCAGCAAAATGGTCCTGCTCAGCCCTCCCCTCGCCCTGCTGCTATGGGATGGGGACCTGGAGGCAGTGTCCAAGTCAGGCCTACCCCCAAAACAGGACCCAGTGCTGGAGGGTGGGCCTCTGGTCAGCCCCATCAGCAGAGGCACTGGCTCTGTCCATCTCTAAATGTTTGCCAACCCTTGGGTGCCCAGGCCCCAGCCCAGTGGTGGGCAGAAGCAGCCTTCCCCTCCTACTGGGAGCCAGCCCCATGGCCAGCTCGGCCAGAAGGGCCAGGGCATGAAGGAGGCTGGGGTCAGAGTCAGGGCTGTGGGTTCTGGGAGGCTTCCCTTAGCAGGACCACAAAGGGCCAGGGATTCACCAGGCTAAGGACACTGCATGTGGGGACACCAGGGTGTTGCGTGTGGGGGACGCCTAAGAGACAGGCCGTAGAGGCTGGGGGTGGTGGTGGGGGCCCTTGTCGTCTAAAGGCCTTGAAGGCCCGGCTCCAGAGAGCAGGGCAGCCACATGGTCAGTCTGCCACCACCCTGCCTGCCACGGGTGGGGCAGTGGGCAGCCCATTGGTGGGAACAGCCTAGAAGGTGAGGCCAGGGTGGAGGCTGGAGCTGTGGATGGTCCAGGCCGTCAAAACACAGATACCCGGCTGAGATGAACAGATGGGTGGGCTCCGGAGGCTGTCTGGGGATGTGAGCAGCCAGGCCTCGGATGTGAGCATGGTGGGGGAGGTGACTACCCTGGGGTTGAGGGGCAGCCTCTGAGCAGCCACTGTGTGTGCAGGGAAGTCCCCAGGCTCCATCGACACGTGGCCAGGGCGGCGGAGTGGTGACATGATCGTCATCACCTCGATCCTCTCTTCTCTGGCCGGCCTCCTGCTCCTGGCCTTCCTGGCAGCCTCCACTGTGCGCTTGTGAGTGGTGACACCCTGTGGGCCCCTGTCCCATCCGGAGCCCCTCCCCTCTCACTGGCCCCGGAGCCTGGAACCCTCCATGAACGCTGGGGTTTGAGTTGGCCAGTGACTCTTCCAGGGAACTGCCGCCCTTAGGATCTCTCACCGGGGGGGTCAGAGAGGTGGTTCAGAGACAGGGCCACCTCAGTGTGTCCTTGGCTGGGGCCTTCCTCCTCCTGGGCTTTGTTTTCTTTCCAATGGGCCCTCTGTCGTGTCACTGAACTGACACCACGGTAGTCAGGGCGCCATCTGGAGGAGGCGGGCCTCCAGCTGGTTCTAGCAGGGAGGGAAGGGCAATCAGAGGCTGCAGGAAGAGGGAGCTGGGGGTGGCAGCCGGCTCCAGCCAGCAGGGACACAGCCCTCTTCCTCTCCCCGTTCAGCTCTAGCCTGTGGTGGCCTGAGGAGGCCCCTGAGCAGCTGCGGATCGGCTCCTTCATGGGCAAGCGCTACATGACCCACCACATCCCGCCCAGCGAGGCTGCCACCCTGCCCGTGGGCTGTGAGCCTGGCCTGGACCCCCTCCCCAGCCTCAGCCCCTAGGCTGGCCTATGTGGCTGGAGCTGGGGCAGTGGGGGTGAGGGGGACAAGTGCACCAAGCTCCTTCCCAGCCCTTGCACCCACGTGCCCCGCCCCCATTGCACACCTCCCTCTTCCTGAAATCCCACCACTAGCAGCCACGCCTTTCCTGTTTCCATACCCTCTCCAGGCTGCTGAAGCTGCATTCAGGGGAGTTTGGGGGAGGGGTGTGGTCAGGCTGGGCCTCCAGCCCCCACCTCCATCTCTACCTCTGTTCTGCCTGGCCTCCTGCCGGAGGTAGTGTAGAGAGGCAGCCCTGACTGGAAGCTTCCAGGCCCAGGAGGAGGCCTGCAGGGGACTTGCTCTGCCGTGTGCAGGGGCTGGGCTGGGCCCATACCGGGTGTATGAGGCCTGAGCTTCCCCCGTCCCTGTGTCCCACGCACCAGCGGCTGGGGCTTTAGAGGCACCTCCATTGTCCCTGGTCCTTTCTGAGGGTGGCACTCACCAGCCAGAAAGTCGACAGTGTAGGGGTCTGCACATTATTACCATTCGGCCACCACTTCCAACCCCCTTGCACACACAGACGGCTCACGCATTTATCCACTCACTCTCACTCCACAAACATTTATTGAACACCTGCTGCATGCCACGCAGTGTTGGACGTGGGGCCTCAGGCAGAGCCAGTCCTGATCTTGGGGAGCTCACTCACTGCTCTGGGCCTCAGATGACCACGGGTCCAGATGTGACCTGTTACTGCTGGGGGGGCTGTCACACCCTCAGATTGTCACATACCATCGGGCTCACACTCCTTCAGACAATCACCCCAGTGGGCTCTCTGAACCCCCCATCACCAGAGAGGTCCCGCTTCAGACGTCCCTCAGCATCCCTCTGGCCGCAGGGCCCGTGGTTCCCTGAGTAGCCGCACGGGGGCGATGGTGGACCGCAGGCACACGGCCCTGCGCATGCGCACTCCTCTCCACAGGCTCGCGAGGCTTTTGGCCGCTGGGCTCCTGCTTGGCGACCTGATGTCGCAGAGCCGGGTCTCTGGAGGTCAGGGCACCTGGTCTCACCGCGGCCATGCCGGAGGGATCCGCACTCACGCTCCCGCTTGAGGGTCTCCTGTGCCGTCCAATCCGCGCAGCCGCCAAGGTTTTCTAGATGGAGAAACCGAGGCTCGGTGACTTGCCCCTGCGCTGTCCACTGCCGCCCATCCCATGTCCCTGGGCCACTCCCGGCACGTCCAGTCTGACCGCGGCTCCCAGCGCGCAGGCCCCCGCGGAGGGCCCGGCAGTGGCCAGCAGGGGTCCCCCCCCTTTGGAGGTGAATAAATGCCGTCTGGCTGTCCCACCCTCTCCGAGTGGTGCCCGCATGGTTTGGGGAGAGGAGCATTTGCACGCGGGACCCAGCCTGGCCTTCTCTCTAGCCCACCCTGCCAGCGGCCCCGGGGCTGCCCTGAGCTCGTCGCCTTGATTGCTATCCCGGCTTGTACTTTGGGATGTGTGCTGCAGGGTTGGGAAGCCCACCACTAATGTGGATTGAGCAGCCCTCCCTCCCAGGCAGATGCTCCAGAGGAGTCTTTGCTTTCAAAACCCCTGAACCCCTAGTCCCTGAAGGCCTTCCCCCTCCTGCCTGCACCCCCACCAGCCACAGGTGCAGACAGAAGCAGGTTCAAGTGCAGGCAGGAGCCTAGGCCCTGGGGGGCTGGGTGACATCTGGCGGTGGGAGCCAGCCCCGTTGGGCACCGCTTGTGAGATTCTGCAGCTGTGGAGCCCAGGTCCCTCTTGGCCTCTTGGAATTGGAGGAGAGTTAAAAGGGCCCCCTACTCTCACCAACTACCCCTGGTGAGCCTATCTCATACTGTCCTGTCCAGGCTGGCTCCAACACTGGACAGGAAGGCCCTCGAGGTCGGGACGCCCGGCGTGGGGCTTGCCCACGGTGGGTATGGCTCGGAGGAAGAGGCGTCCACTGGCATTTGCTGGATGAAAACGTGAATGAACCCAATCTGGGCCAAAGTACTGGCCAGGATCCGGAATTGCCCCAGGCTTTTGTGTGTCCCCGGGCCCTCTGGTGGCTTGTCTTAGTGCCGGAATCTGCGCTGCTCCCGGGCGCAGCCCTGGTGACGTCCTGGGCGTGCCCACGGCTGCCTCTTGCTTCTGAACAGCCCCGGAGAGCTCTGAGGAGCTGCTCTCACCCCTTCGGGCCGCCTGGGGCTTGACCATTGGGTCAGGCTCCACACGGACATTGCAACACGCTGGGTGAAGACTGTAGAGTATAGCCCAGGGCCGGGGAGCCCAGAGGAGGCAAGTGACCCCACCTGAGGGTCAAGGCGGCTTCCTAGGGGTCATTTCTGAGCTGAGCCTTAAGGACCAAATGGAAGTTAGTCAAGTGGAGGGGGAAAGAAGGAGGGAGGGAGGGAGGGCGTGACTTGAGGGACCGGGTGTGAACAGTCTTGCCCTGTGTGGCATGGCTGGTGCCCAGGGAGTGGCAGCAGGGACTGGGGGCTAGGAGACCAGGGAGAGGGAGGCTGGACTTCCAGGCAGATGGGACCAGCCATGAACCAGGGCAGCTGGAGAGGGAAGGGAGTTGGAGAGGAAGAGGTGGATTCCAGAAATATTCAGGAGGTGGCCAGAGAAACTGAGGCTTCTTAGATGTGGGAGATGAGTCAGAAGGAGAGGCCATGCCCGGCTTTCTGCTGTGGGGATGGGTGTGAGTGCTAGATGGAGGCCGTTTGTGTGCTGAAAGTGGTCACACCACCCTAGCTTGCTTCAGAGCGGACGCCCAGGTTCTGGGAGTCTGGGGACGTCATCATAGCAGCTGGGAGGCTCCACCAGAACATTAGCAAATTGTTAGTTTTTTACAAAAATGGAAGCCGACCCTGGTCAGTGGGAGGCCACCCATGCACCGGCCCGACTGTGGGTGTTCTGCCCCAGGGCTGTGCTTGGCAAGCATGCCAGGGTGTCAGAATCACAGGGAGAAGGGGTGGCACCGGCCACCACCCAGCACAGGCAGCATCACGCTGGGCCTGGGGAGCTGTGCCAGGGCGTTCTGGCCCAGAGTCACGCTCGAGAGTCGTCAGCCGGACCCCAGCCCTGCACAGGCCAGCTTGTGACTACCTGGAGCAGAGCGCATAGTGAGAGCCACCTTGTGGAGAATCTTTTACTAAAGGGCGTTTAAAATTTCCTCCAGGGCTGTATTTGGGGAAGTGCCTCTGAATCCATTGGCCTGTAACAAAATGGCTCAGTGGTTAAAAACAAGTTCATTCTTAAAAAGGAAAAAACAGCAATGATTATGGGGATGACTCGAAGATGAGTCATCAGGCGAGAAATCAAAGGAATCGGGAGGACAGCAGGTGGAAAGCAGGCAAGGCAGCTGGGCACCCCCCAGCCTCACCGTCTGGGTTCACTTTATTCCTCTGCACCTCTGAACTGTCCGTTTCCCTCTACCATCTGGCAACCCCCAGGCCAGCCGCCTGGGTCTCTCGCTGGGATGTCAGCAACTGCCCCCTCGCTGGTCTCCCCACACCAGAGTTCCTGACCCCCATTCTCCTCCCAGCGTCCACAGGGACCAGATTATAAACCTGATGGTGTCACACCATTGTTCACAACTCTCAGCAAGTTCCTGCTGCAAGAACGGAATCCGCTTCATGATCTCAGTCGTGAGGCCCCCTGAGTCATCCCTTGCTCCCTGGATTCCAGCCACACAGGCCCCAGGGCCTTTGCAGTTGCTGTTCCCTTGATGTAGAACACTCTTCCACTTCGCTCCCCTGCCTCTGGATCATTCCTCAGCTCCAGTGTCACTTCTTCAGGGAAGCCCTTCCTGACCCCTCAGCTCTCCTAGAACCCTGTTGTTTTCCTTCTCAGCACATTTTTCATTTTGTAATCAGACATTTAAAACTGTGAGTTTTTGTTTTCTTTTTTTTGTGAGGAGATCAGCCCTGAGCTAACATCTGCCAATTCCCGCCCCCTTTTTTTTTTTTGCTGAGGAAGACTGGCCCTGGGCTAACATCCGTGCCCATCTTCCTCCTCTTTGTATGGGATGCCACCAAAGCATGGCTTGCCAAGCAGTGCGTCGGCGCGCACCCAGGATCCGAACCGGCAAACCTCGGGCGGCCTCAGCGGAGCACGTGCACTTAACCACTTGTGCCACCAGGCCGGCCCCAAAACTGTGAGTTTTTGCATCTCTCCCACTAAACTGTAAACTCCAGGAGGGCAGGGACCGTCGTCACCTGGTGTTCCCAGAGCTAGCACAGTGCCCAGCTTCCAGTAAGTCCTTGAATGTTTGTTGACTGAATGCTTTATAAAAGGCAAACATATCTTCACACTTTTTAAAATATCAGCTTCATTGAGATATAATTCGAATTTCATACAATATACCTATTTAAAGCATTCAGTTCAATGGTTTTTTGTATATTCACAGAGTTGTACAGCCATCACCACGATCAGCTTTAGAACATTTTCCTCACCCCCAGAGGAACCCTGTCCCCGGAGAGTAGTCACTCCCCGTTCCTCTCCACTCCTGGCAACACCCGCTTGCTTTCTGGACTTTTCATAGAAATAGAATCACGCAATATGTGGTCCTTTGTGAGTGCCTTGTTTCACTGAGCATAATTTTGGGGGAAAAGGAAACAGAAGCCCTGGCATTGCCTGTGGTGGGCTCTGTCACTCACCCATCCTCTGCTTGGCTGAATCATGTCTTAATCATTTTTAATTGGGTAGAACTCATTCTAGGGTCCAGTCTCTGGTAAAGGTGGGGTCTCTTTCAACCACCCAGGACCATTGTTAAGTGGGCTCAGTCTTCACAGGGACCCAGGACCCCCACCCCAGTGTGTTCTCCGATGCAAACAGCAGAAACCAACCTTGGTGAGTTAGGTGGGAAAGGAACATTCTAGAGGAGATCGGGGGCTCCTGGAGGCTCCGAGAGCCGGGGTTGGAGACCACACCAGCAATCCCAGTGCGGAACAAAGCCGCTTTCCCTGGGTGCCGCCGTGGGAGCTCCTGGCTCGGTCGCCTCTGGAAGCTGGGCACGG